AACCAACCAACCAACCAACCAACCAACCACGACGACCACCACAACAACAGCAACAACAACAACAACCAATGGATTCAAACATCGTCATGATGTTGAGAGGTGTGGTTTGTTCATCCACCCTCTCCTATGTCCCACTGGCCTCCCAAATACCGCTCACCCCAACAATCCGCCGTCCCCAGGTGGGGCGCCTCCCAGGTGGGCTCCGAAGCCCATCGATCCGCATAGGCCGCCAGGGCGTCGAAGCCTTTGGCCGCCTGGCGCGTTCGGTAGGGAAGACCGGAAGGTCCGCAGGCAGCCCAGCATCCTGACCGGTCGTGGGCATCAATATCACATCTCCGGTCGAACGGACGGACTGACCCGAAACTCGAAGAAATGACTATAGGTGAAGAACTGAATATGGATTGACATGGGGATGGGTCGTGACCCACCATGTTCGCCCGACCAGTTCACCCATCGCTCACCAAAACAAAACACCGACTCCAGTGTAGATCGTGCCCAGTCAGTTTTTCGAGGGAAAACCCACGTCGGAAGTGGAAGGCGCGGCTGTTGGCAGGAAAAGCGGCTTCCCGAAATCCAGCACGCCACTTTGCACTAAGACTTGTTGAGTCGGAGTGTGGCCCTTGAGAGTCCGGTCATTTTTAGGGTCCGGTCCCCCGGTCACTGCTAGTGGTGGGCTAGTGACCTCCAGGTGGGGTAAAATGAGCCATTGTGAATCTGGATGGGGGCATTCCGGCATTCCGAAATTAAAACACTTAGAACTTAGAAACTCTGCGGTCACCTGTTGCTTGTCTTCTAGATTCTAGGCGCCTTTGTTTTTGGTGTTGCTTGGGGGAGGAAGACGCAAGGGATTTTGGAGAGCATTGGGGGGGGCTTCTCCCACCCTCCGGCATAGCAGGATGTTCTTTTTGGGGAGGTGGGAATCTCCCACCCTCGTGTCGCGCAACCCTCGAGAGAGAGAGAGAGAGAAAGTCCTCTGGTCCCAGGACTCTGTTCTGCTGGGTGGATTATGGCTCACAAGCTCACAGGGAAAGGGAGTTGGTAAGTAAACCTGTGGATGGCTTCGTGTGTCACAAGTGGATGTTGAGTGGAAAAACACCATCGGATGCTTCATCATGTCCAACCAATGAGGTCTTTGGATTGTCCAAACATGTCACAAGGGGTTGCTGCCACTGTGCCACTGCAGTCCAAGTTCTGTCCTGTGCCCAACTGGCCTGCATAGTGACCTAGTGTTTTTGGTGGGGCAATTCCTCTAAACTTCCGTACCCAACACCATGTAAGGCCCAGAATGGAGGCACCATTTGACCCACCGGCCCAGCACCGGCCCAGCACCCGTCGACTCCGTCGTCGTCTTCCGACTCCGATGAGTCTGGTCGAGCAGCACAGCAACAGCACCGCCAGGTCGAGCAGCAAACAGCATCCCCACGCCAGAACTTCCTTTTTGACTCATTTTACCCCGCCTGGTAGTCGTAATTCACCGCTACTTCTCCCACTACTCCTGGTACTAGTAGTAGTCTACTACTGCTGCTGCTGCTACTCCTGGACTCTCGGCTCTCGCCTTGGCCAAACGCCCCTGAGCCAAGTCCTCGAGCGAGTCCTGCGGCCAGGGGTGACGTACCGGAGCTTCCATCCAGCGGTGGGTGGTTGATTGGAGCTTCTCGAAGCTATGAAGCTATTCTCCAAGCTCTTCTGAAACAGCGGCTTAAGCATGCTTAAGCTACGAACGTAGCAACAGGGAGGTGCAATCGAAACCGAACGTAAGAATAGGATCGCGACGAACTAGTAGCGTCCTTGGCATTACTACGAGTCTACGAGTAACAAGAAGCTACTTGTCATGAAACTGAAACTGTCATTTTAGCTGTCAATATTCTTTTCATGCGGCCATAGTCAATCTAGACCTCAAACTCCAGAAACCAGCATCACCACCACCAGGTGGTGTTGCAAGACGTTCCCAAAAGCAAGAACCACCTATATCATTCACTACGCATGAACAACGGTCCGGAGACTCCGAGGCTGATCTCGCTGGTCGAGATACCCCCTGTCACAGTGCCTGGAGTGACGTCGTGAATTCTTGGAAGCGATCCTTCCTGAGAGGCGTGAACTTGGTCGACCGCGGGGTGGGGAGGGAACATGAGGGAACCCTTCGGCAGATGGGAGAGTTCGTCTGAATATACGGATTTATATAATAGGATGCAGAAGTGAGACTTGTATGATCGTGGATGTGGTAATGTGGTATTCAATCTAAGCTATAAGTTTAGTATAGTTTAGTTTAGTACCACTTGCTGCGTGTGTGGTTCAGTGTACCTTCTTTTTCAAGGTGCGAGGATCATTATATCGCTGAAATAGAGGAAAAATGATGATGTCATCGATGTTGCACCATTTCCTCATGTAGACTCTTGATGTCAACCAAGCCAAAAAAGAGGTTTTACAATCCATGTCTGGGGGGGGTGATTCATCGAGAGTCTACAAACATTTTGCTAAAGAGCTCCGCCTGAAAACACCATGCCTCTTCCGCATCGCCTCTTGAATCCCCGAAACTTGGAGAGGCCGTCGGCAAGAAGCCGTGGCACCACCACCCAAGTGCCCAAGTCTCATGGTGCCGAGCAAAATCAGCAAAGTGCCCCAAAAGACTTGGCAGCAAAAGCCTGGCCTTGGCCTTGGGTGAATCTGATCTATCCCTACAAGTCCAAAGACCCAGTAAAACGTGGTCTTTTTACTCCTTAAGTATTGGTTTTGTATCACCATCTCCAGTAAAATGAGGTCTTTGACTTGTAGGGTATATAGATCAATTTCTACGGCATACAAGGTCGGGTGCCGCCAAGCAGCTGGATCTTTCGCACCCTCATAGCTTTGCGCTCCTCCTCATTCCTGCGGGATTTGAATGTGCACCCAAACCTCCTGTTCGCGCTCCCCCCCCTGTTCGCGCAACCATCTCTGCCGCGCCCCGTTTGCGCAACTGCCACGGCCAAACCGAGATCGACGGCCTACGCCAAATGGGTGTGACCACCGTGAGGAACTGCTGCGAGAGGACCGCCACCAGGAAGGACGCGGTCAGAAAGGCCATGACCGGCACCGCCGACTGCTCCAGGAAGCGAGGAAACTCCTGGCGCGCACCGGCGGTGCAGCGCAGGATCGATGGACCGAGAAGAGAAGGACGGGTGTTAGTATCGCGTCCGTACCGTGTTTCTAATCAATTCCACGCACGGGCGATGGATACGAACTGCTATCCGACCATGGAGGCACCGTGTGGTTCAATGGGTTCGATGAAAATAGGACATGGATGTGGAGGGCACTTATTAGGTGTTGAGTGGAAATAGGTTAACCCAGTTCCAACCAGAAAGAAGTGGATGGAACTCCCCAGTCCCAACCATGTCCTATGTAAAGGATTTCAAGCAAGCCATATTGGAACAACCATTGAACTTCTGGTTGTTTGGGGTTCCAGGTGGGGATGGTTACCTTTCCCCAAGACCAGGTGTGTCTTTTGGTTGGCTTTCTCATGCTTTAGACCAAAGGCTGAAGAAGTGCAAGAAAGAAAGAATACAACCCGAATGCTTTCTAACCTGAACCTCCGGAGAAAGGGACAAAAAAAACACCCGCCTCTGGCAGCAGTCCCTGATTCGGTCGCTCGGGCAAGATGGGCGAGATCTTCTCTGCTAAGTCTCTGAGCATCCTCAGGCAATCCGGAAAAAAGGCGTGACAACTGGCATGAAACTCATCCGGGACCTTTCTTAGCCCAATCTTATGCCAATGACACTGTCCAATGGGGAGCGAACCGGTCGACCATTGAATCAAGACTCCGTGAAATAATCCAAGTGGAAAGTAGGCCCCTTGAATGACCTGTTTTCCGCTCTACAAACAGTTTCCACTACCATGTGAGTGAAGTGTAGTTCCTTTCTCCTCTTCCCCGGTCAGAGGCCTTCCTTCTTTTGCGAGTTTGGGTGAAACTGTGAAACGCTGCAATCTCACAGCAGTATCTTGACAGCAAGCATCCACCCCCACACCATTCGTGTACCCCTCCAGGCGTCTGACACGAAGATCACATGGGGCGGGGCGGTGGTGTTGGAACACTCCGGGCGTTCCATGCGTGTCCCATCGCACTGGCCACAGGGTTCTCCAAGCTCACGCGTGCGCGTGCCACAGGCCGATCCACGTAGCATCTGGGAGGTCACGTTGCGCTGCTCAATGCTGAAGGACTCCAAGCCGTTCTCGAAGCAAATGGGAACACTGGAAAGGTTCACAGGTACTTGTAACGACACCAAAAGGCAATCGCAGGTGATCCAATCGCACGAGTCCTGACTGGGAACGCCACACCGCTTCACGAACTCTTCCATCCAGCGCTGGAACCGTGGCAAGTCTGGACAAGCCACTGTGCAGCTGAGGGCACCCAAAAGCAGCGTTTGTCTCATGGCGGCCACATGACGACCCAACTTCGTGGTCGTGTTTGCGGTCAGGTTCCTTGGGCCTTGAGCCAGTTCACATGGAATATCGTGCAAGGTTGCAACATCCGCAACTCAAGGCCTTGATCCAAATACCAAGGGTGTCAATGTTGGATATATTATGATATATTTCAAGACCCCCTAGAGCAGCCCCTTCACCAATTTTGCACCCCCAATTGTGGATCATTCGACACCTGTCAGATCGAAAAAGGGTATCACTCCGGTGGACACAGGACACACCCTGCTTCATCGTTAGGTTGAACCCAAAACGAAGTTGACCATGACAACTAAGTTAGCTGGCTTGGGCAACTGACGATGTGGAGTTAATCAATAGTAGCTATAGGTCATGGTTCCAAGCCCTCCGAAGAGGCCTGTTGCCCTCCACCTGGTGCACCAAGCGTTAAATGCCGAACGGTTCGCCCACCTTCCCCCCCCACTCTCGCGCCCGGAGCAAGACCAAGCTCACCACTCCATCCCCCACCTCAGCCACCCCTGCAGCCCACCACGCTGTGAAACCCAGCCACCCGGGCTTCTGGGAAAGCTTTTGCAGGACCTCGTCAGCTTCTTTCATCAGCAACTGCCGCTGGTCCTGCTATAGCAAAGTGGACGGTCCATCGGCAGCACCCGAAGACACATCAACCTGTGACCTTCCACCAGGACCTTCCCAGTGACCTTTCCAGGGGCTTTCTTGACCAATCCTGAAAGGCTGAGATCGCAGAAAAGAGGAGACCTGGGAAGGTCCTGGCACATCAATCATCTTTCGGCCTCAAGTGGTGGATCCAAGTGCTGGTGGATCAACTGAGTCGAACACGCGTAAGAACACGCGTCCTCGACCCGCGGAACACGCCGTGGAGGTCGGTCGAAAGGGAGGTGGTCTGAACATCCCAATCACAGGTGGGTGTGGAATCAAGGAAATTGTGTTCAGAAGGTAAGAACATCTATAAGCTGAGGCAGCCAAGGGTGAAAGAAGAGTTATCTGAATGGAGCCATTCAGCAGCTTTAAAAGCTCCCTTTTTCCTTATGTGGATCCTAGATCTTGAGCCTTCGGTGGTCAAATAAACCCCTGTAGTCAACATGTGGAATGCAGGACATCTTGTGGCCATACCTCAAGAATCTTCACCCTAGTAAGACAATTTGATATACCTAAACTCATTCTAACATGGTGTCTTTTTGAGCCACAGCCCTTGCGCCGGACTTAAAACCCTTTTTCTTGTCCTTCGAGTCCAACGGACTGGGCCGGCGATCTTCGATCGAATCGAATCTCCTCTAAGTCGGCCTGCATTTCGCTGATCTTCTGGGAGATGACCACCTCGCATGGTCCACTCCACTGACCCACCGTCGACCGGGAAACCAAACCAAACCCGTCGGCTCGTCCTTTCTTCTCTGTCCAATTCTCACCCCAACGATTCTCATCACCCCTTTTCTTCTCACCCTCCGTCCCCACACGGAATCACGGGGATCACACGGGATCACACGGGCCTCGGAGGTCTCCGGACCGTTGCGTCGGCTCTGGACCGGTCCAGGCCTCCGTTTCGTTTCGTTTCAGCGGTTTCAGGCGACCCGGCGTCGCCTCGTCGTAGTTCGGCAGCTTCTCTTCGGTGGGCCTCAAAATCTCCTCTGCCCTCTGCCGGAGCGCCTCCAAGGAGGAGCCGAGCCCTGGGCACCGCGCGCAGCGCTGAGAGAGAGGAAGATGGAGCACAAGAAGGGGCTGGAAAGGAACGGAACAATGCGACGAAGGTAGGTAGGAAGTGTTCCGTGTTGTCAGATCATCTACGGTAAACACGGGCCGTGAACATTAGTAATTAGTGTGTAGTATAATATATATATATATACCAGGAGTCACAGAGCTCGGGATAGTGTTTAGTCCCCAAGTGAGTGGAGGTGACAGGGGCACCCCTAACCTCCATAAAGCACCGCACCCCGACATGTGACTGCTGGTATATAATACTAATATATATATATGGTCTTTTCTAATGCCAGGACCATCAAGTCGACTCTGTTGGGCCCACCCCGCCCCGTCTTCTGTCCTTCCAGCACGGTGCTGATGTCCCGATTGGACTCGGACACCTCGCGGAGCGCTCAGCGCTCACGTGTCGATGCCGGACTGCCGCGACCAACCACAGATCCTCGGACCCTGTTTCGTCCCCTCAGATTTTGACCCATGTTTCTCTCTTGACCCATGTGGTGGAGGACTGCCGCTGCCGGAGGTTCCAAGAAGTTCGGAAGCGTCGGAAGCGACGCGGAGGCTCGGGTCATTCGGACACCTTTGGCGGATCATGCTTCTAGGGCCCCTACCGTCCAGTTGGGTCATTAGCTCATGCCACTCTGGTTAGTCCTGTTCCTTGACCATCTTAACCACATTGAGTAATTACTTATAGGTGTTGCATTTTCCTGGATCCCGTTGACTTGAGGTCCGTTGAAGACCTGTGCCGTTGACTGGACTGGACGGAGGTCGATGTGTTGTTTTCGATCCAGTTCTTTGAGGTTCTCGATTTCGTACGTCCCGCTGTCCACCTCGTGGACGTCCAAATCTATACCAGGACCATCCTGTCTGGGTCCTGAAACTGGACTACCCCTACCCTCCACTACTATACGGGATCTCCAGCCAGGACACCAAACAGGGTGGTCCAGGTAAGATCTCACAGGTGTTGAAGAAGGGTCTTTGGGGTCGGATTTTTTTTGGCAGATCGACTGGACAAACCACATCCCAACGCTCCCCTGCCATCACCAAATCCCCACGCTCCCCCCCAAGAACCTCCGGCCACATCGGCCGCATCGGCGGTCTAAATAGGCACAGGGACATATCTCTCTTCTTGGAGTTGACTGGCCACCAGATCTGCATAGGTCGAAGTATCATACTTCAAGCTTTGTAAGTCCACCGCTTCATCCTGGACTCGACCGGACAAAGAGCTGGGTCATCGAACCAAAAAGACCTCCGGATGAGGTTTAAGCCGGACCGGCAGGTGAAGCCCTTCTTAAATAAGCAACAGCGTGTGAAAACGCGTCGGAAGATGGGAGAAGAACTGGATCTCGAAATGGCGGTGTCTTTTCCACTTTTAGAAACTGATGACATCGTATAACATCAGGAGCAGCAGAGTGATCAGCTTCATGTCTTCATGTCCTGACTTGCAAAATGTCTTCATGTCACGGTCAGGACCCCTTGAAGGACCTGAGACACAGTGGGACTCCCGGTGCACCCAGGAGTCACCAGGACCCCCCACCTCCCATCCCACTCTCCATCACCCCAAACACCTCCAAAAGGCTGAAACCCAAGCGGCCTTTCAAACCTAAAGGCACCCGATGTCGCCTCCGGTGGTCGCCTCCGGTCGCTTCGTTCGCGCTCTCGCGCGATCTCGCGGACTCCGCCGAAGAATCGGTCCTGTCCCTCGTCGATGAGTCCAGCCTTCCGGAGGAAGAGCGCCCAGCAGAGGAGAATGAAGTTCAAGGACCAGCCCAAGGCACCCGTCCAGCGCCAGAACTGGCTCCTCTCTTGGCGCCAGTTTGGTGCTTCGTTCCCCCGCGGGTGTTTCCGAGCCAAACCGCGGCCAAGAAGGGACGTTTCTTTAAGAAGTCTTAAAACGGATGGAAAAGGTCGGAGGTTTGGGTGAATTAAAGCATGGCAAAACCCTAGTAGTCCTAATTAAAAGATGTTTGGCCCGATCCATGATCGTCTAAATTACAAATGGTTCAACACATGTCCAAACCCAGTCCCGCCCTCCCTCGGGCGCCCAGTCCGCCCCGTCCGTCGACCCATCGTTCCTCGACACGGCACGTTCGGACCGACCGACTGAGTTGGACCGAGGCACTCCCTCATGAAGCCTTCCCGGCGAGGCTCAGCAGCCTCAGTCGCTCCGCGCACGGTCGCTCCGGAGTCCTTTGGGACAGGACGTGATCACTGAGTCAGGTGGTGTTTTGGAGCGCCAGCCTATACCGGCGAAGAAGGTGGCTTGCAAAAAGTGATACAGTATAACAGGATATAACGTGTTGGAACGAAAACAAATGCCAAACAAGCTACTAGGTACCAGCACCATCCAAAGGGTGGTTTATAGACCTTTGAAAATGCATTTTCTCTTCGGGATTTCAGCCTAGGGGTCGATGAATGGGCATGAAGAAAGCATGATGACCGAATCAAATAGAACTGCCAAAGTAAGACCCAATGAAAATAGACTAAAATAGTCTAACCTCTTTCCATTTGGCTTAAGACGACCCAATGAAATAGACTAAAATAGTCTATAACATATAACCTCTTTCCATTCGGCTTGTTGGACTGGAAACGGTGAGGTTGCTGTCCAGGCCATCTTCTGCCTCTTCTTGGAGGATGAAGTTCACCTCGTCGCTCGACAAGTCCTTCAAGTCCACAGTGACCAAAGGCTCGGTGTCACCGTTCTCCTGCGAAAAAGGGAAAAGGCGTGGTACCCAATGGACAGCCTTGGTCCTTGGTAGCTGAAAAGGTAGAAACCTACTGGGATCATCCTACCATCTGGGTGTCCTGAAACTGGACCACCCTACACTACTTTGGGATCTCCAGCCAGGACACCCAGACAGGATGGTCCAGGCAGAAATAATTGGACTGACATGTCGAAAGTTAGGACTTGGATTTGCGGTCCAGGAACTGGGCCAAAAGCAAGACATGGAACTAATTCACCCAGAAGAGGGTACACTCACAGGATCTCAGAGGGAACCAACAAATTCACCTGATCAACCACTGGCCGACTGTGCTGCGTTGTTCGCTTGGTATTTCTTAGTTGTTCATCATCGGTGGATGGGCCAAAGCACCCGCGGCTCGCAGGTTGAAAAACCAAAACAACAGGGGCTCTGCAGTTTCCGGGAAGAATCGACGAGTGTATGATAAAAAAGAATGGAAGAACCAATGCTGCGAAGAACCTGCGACCAGCTATCTGCGCAAAAACCTTTCTGTTCGGCCATCCGGCTGCTATCGGCCATGGGCTTCGTCGCTGGTTGGTCATTTCAAACAGACCCCCCCCTGCGGGATTGGACCATCGTCTTCGCATCTCCAATCGCAAACCATCACACTTGTCCGATCCAGTCACCAGAAGTTGCGATTCCGATTCCGCTCCTCGCGTTGGGCCTGGCTCTCATGGATGATCACTGGGATGGCCTCCTGCTGCGCCGAAAGCGCTGCGCCGAAAGCGGCGCCCTCCGGCCCCCAAGAAGCGACTGGGGATCCGTCCCGCGGTACAGTAGCCCTTCCACTTGTGGGGTACTGGAGGGTTTAAAGTGTGAAAAGTGCGTATAATATACAATGACAATATATATATATATATGATTATACATGTATATGCTATATATATATATTTATATATACAATTTATAAAGATGTATTATATGATGTATAAAGTACAAGCACGACACAACACGTGTAACTTCAAAACACCGGTTGTGAAAGGCATGGCACAAGGCTCCAAGGTGTATCAGTCTAGCAACATCTAAGTGAGCCAACGAAGCGACGTTGGAATCGCCAGTTGCATGGGCACAGTGGAGTAGCACCGCGTGGTTCGATGCGGTTGGCTCAAGAAAGCAGGAAAGGGATGTGGGACGGAAGTTGACTTGACGGCTGTGGGAGCCGTCTTTGTGTTACAAGGGATGAATTCAGCAAACAGGCCATGATCATCTCGTGCGGTTCTCCGTGTTTCAACACGTCGATCCTGGGGACGAGAACGAGTTAGTTTTACGGGTCGTTGGTTCGGTGGGCGGAATCATCCCAGGAGAAGCGGCAAGAAGACCAGTCAGGTTCTCTTTCTGGGGAAGAACTTCTCAGGAAGCATGGTTGTATCCTTTCCTGATCACCCAATCATCTGCTCGGCTCCAAAAAAAGATATCCGTCTTGCGGATTTATGCTCTCTCCAACTCGCCTTGCGGGCCTTGCGACCTTTTCGGAGTCGAAGCCAACCTGAAACACCCGCGGCGGAGTCGACCACGGAACAGCACACGCGAAGGACACGAAGCAAAGCTGAACACATGATGACATGGCAAGAGGATTCAACCTTGACATAAAAAAAAAAAACTGGCATCGCTCCAGGAAGAAGGCTCCAGGTAGAAGTCATCTTTTGGCTATAGGAGACAGATAGAAAAAAGAAAAAACACATTGACGTCTTCACTGTTCACAGTCTTCACACATCTCAATTCTTCAGAAATAACTGCATGAAGTCATATGGAGTCTGGTCTGTGCCGTTGGACCAAATGAGTCCCCGCCTCGGAGTCCACGCAGCACCGTGCAGCTGTGGCCTGCCCGTTTGGCGGTTTTGGCTCCGACCAACCAAGTTCACCACTTCGGCTCGAAGGTAACGCGTCTCTTCACATGACGGACAGGGACCTCAAGGTAACGCGCCGTTGCAACACTATGCTGTCTGTGTGGCCGAGATGGTTCAACGAAACATGCGATCACCAACGGTTGGTCGGGCTCGCGGCGAGCTCGCCAGGGCGAGCGGCTCCATCCGATGTGGGAGGGGCGGAGGTGCACATGGATAGGGCGACTGAGCATGGGTCTTGTCTTCATCATTTGGACTCAGATTCCAAAACTGGCGGGATGATGTTGGTTCAACATGGAGCAAGTGACACACAGTGGAACCCCACCGTTTTGCTGAGAACAAGGAGAGATCGGAAAGTGCCCGGGGCCAAGTCGAGATCAAGTCATTTGGACGTCGACCAATCTTCTGGGGATGGAGACAGTCATGCGCATTGCAGAGTACCCTTCCACAAGCCCAAGCATTGATAGAAATGCCACATGACAAGTGCAGAACAGACACCAAAGTTATATGAATGAAATTCATGCACTATTGCGTACTTCCGAAGCACCATCTACTACTCACCCGCGCCCAAACGTTCATCGGACATAAAAGCAGACATCCAACAGAACAGAAACCCGACTGAAAACACGAATCGTTCTGTCTGATTTGGGAGACCTCCCAGAAGAAGTAGACCAAAACCCTTGAGGCCAGGGGGTCTCCCCATTAGACCATGCACCCCCTGCACCGCCTCTGTTTTACATCGATGTGAAGCATCCATTCCTTCTCTCTTCAACGAGCTCCCGGTGACTCGGGCAGGGTTTCACCCGCCTGCAGGTGACGGTAGGGGCCTGTCACCAAGTAATCGAAGCAGGGCCCCAGCGTGTCCAAGCGATCCTGTGTGATCCTTACCCCTATGGTTCGACGATTTGGGGCAGGTTTCAAGACATTCCTGGACTCAGCGTCACCTAGCCAGACCATGTTCAAAAGTGCTGGCTTCCTAGGGTCTTCCAGCTGAGGATCGTCTTCGTCTCGCTCAAATCCCAAGTTTCACAGGAAGGGACCGCTTTCAGTCGCTTCGGCCAAGACGGACACCATCACAAGGCACGTCTGATCTCGTTTGTGGCAGAAGAGGGTGCTTCGGTGCATCCGTGGCCTTCCCACGCGAAGTGGCTGTCCCACAAAGGCCCTGGCACGGAATTCGCGCGGACGCGAGGCGAAGGATGCGTCTGCACATGGGGTGGAACCCCATGAAAAGGGGGGTTCCCCCACTTGAGAAGACTCACGTGGAAAGTCATGGCGCACTGGAGAATGCTCCTGTCGCGTCTCGCTCTTCCTTCAGGGACCCGGAAGATACGCTCCTTCGCGTCGGCGTAGTGAACGGAGTGAACGGAGTCCGATGCCGCAAAGGTGAGACCCAAAGGGTGAGGCCTTTTGGGGGGGGAGAAACCTGGCCTGGCCACTCTGCTGCTTGGGTACGAGCTCATTCTTGACCATCAAATCATAAAACATACAAAACCGTGCCATGCTTCCAGTCCCCCCAGTCCCTGAGCACCAGCCCATTTGTCCAGTCCGGCGGGTTTGTGACCTGACCAGCGACCTGTCTGACCCTCTCACAACCGACCGACCGGTCGGTGGTGAATGATCTACGGAGCCTCCGGAGCCTCCGCTGCGTAGAGACGCCGCAGTTCGACCAACCGTTGATCCATGGCGTCTCTGGGGACGTTGGCACGGGACGAGTTCCGCAGGGAGTTGGCCCCAGGATTCGGTTCCAGTTCGGAGGTGAGGATGCGTGGAACCAATGGCCGAAAACATGCGAAGGACCCTTGGACCTTTTATATAAACTACAGTAAGGCAAAACAAATCCACCAATCCACTTGCAAGAGTGATGGTAAGTGTGCGGATCCACTCGCAGCTTGCCCAATTGCCGGCCTCCACGCAGCCGCCTGGCGAAAGAGACTCATGGCCCACAAACAACGCGGATTCCAAAACCCACCAGCACGCACTCATTCTTATAAGTCTGAGGAATCCCGAAAGAAGTGACGCTACCAAAATCCTGTGGACCTCGCTCAGGAGTCCAGACTCCTACCAAAACAGGACCAAGAATTACACAAATCTGCAGGGATGTCTTCCAAGCTGATCAAGCTCTACCCTCGCAAAAGTCAAAGTAGAACTGCTCGGCCCCTTGGGGTTTTCCATGTCCATGCTGAATGAATTTCTCAGCCCTGTGGGTCGAGTCTTTTCGTGTGAGTTCTTGTTTTGGGAGGACACCCTGCAGGCCGCTCCAACTGTTGGTCCCAGGCTTGGATCTTCGAAGCACCCACAATTAATTGATCTGATCTATCGCATTCGCTGGTCGTGCCAGTGTTGTAGCCTTAGCCATGAACTATGACGGAACTATTGCAAGTAGATCCACCTGGAAACTGAGTCCCAACATAACCAGAAACAAATGGAGGTTTCCCAACAACCACTTAGCTATGTACTCTCTCCAGAACTTACAAAAAAAAATAACACATTACTGGAGCGTTTGCATGTCATTTTTCTGATTCGGAAGAATTTCTTCCTCGGTAGTTGGTATTGTTCCCGGGAAATATACATGGTCAGCAACTTCTTCGTAAACAGCGTCCTCGCCAAGATTACTTCCTCGTAAGTTCTGGGGAGTGTAAAGGATCTCAATTGCCAACTTGGAACCCCCATCGTTTGTTTCTGGTTGTTTGGGTGTCCAGGCAAGAATTTCCTGATCAAGCCCTCTGGAATCTTCCACCTCTTAACCAGACCATTCGCACCAACGGGGGGTAGAAGGACTTCACCCAAAATGGCGATACGCCATGCAACTGTATGGCAGCAGATTGAGAGAGGAAACGACAAAGGAAAAAGAACAGATGTCCTTCGCAAGGAGAAAGAGGGCCCACCCCAAGCCAAGCGATACAAAAAAGAACATGTCACAATGAGTAGTTATAGTACCAGGACCCTCCTGTCAGCCCCGAAACGCTGTGATTCGGGGTGTCCATGAACCACCTTGGGGGTCCTGGTAGTTATACTATCGGTGACTCATCTGGGTCCGGGTTTCACTTCACCGTCTTGAAGTCCGTTGCCTGAGAGACTGCCACCCACAGAGCCACCTCTGACGCGAAGCGAAGAGGTGAAGTTGTGGCTTTCAGAGTCAATGGCACTGTGGGGCCCCCAAGTGAGCACCGGTTTTGTGTAGGGATTGGAGCTTGCAACATCTTGCGACCCAGCTTTCTTGGATGAGTGGAATAGAATGTTTTTTCTGAGGGTGTTGGACAAGAATCAGATTGTTCTTGATGGTGTCTTGAATATACTTCAGTCCATGACTTTAAAATCATATCGACTGAAAACCAACGGCTCTGAGCTTGCCGTGTTGGTGCAGCACGCCCCTTCCGACGTGGACCCGCGGCTCCGACGGCTCGCCGACCACGGACGTCGCCGCGGGTTCCCGCGTTCCCGCGTTCCCGTTCACAGTCCTCCAAAGTCCCAAGATTCTGGCTTCTGCCCATGTTTTGGAAGTCCCCCCTCCCAACACCCCTCCCAACACCCCGAAACTCACAGCAGCCGATTTCCAAGCGGCCAGCACAACCAGCACCCCCAACTAACTCCCTCGGCCCACCTTCACCCGTCGCAGGTTGGTCCATCGATGGCGGACCATGGCTCAAGTGCGCCATCAGCAAGAGTGGTGGATAGAACTTGAGAGTTTCAGTGCGAGGCGATCTCATCCAAAAGTCAAAGCCGCCCTGAAACGTGACATGAGGCCTGTTGTGAAACGTGACATGCACAGCGTGATCTGTCTACTGTCGTGATTGGGGGAGCTCTGGAGACGAACCGCTCAGAGATGAGATGAGGGTCTGTCCGGGACGTCCTTCTGGCTTGTGTGAAACAAATTATAGAGCTTCAAGTGGAGTGGTTGCGATCCTAGGATGTTTCTTTTGCGAAATCCGTGGAGGTACATTAGTACATGGCAGGTGATGCCCCAAGCCTTTCAAAGATCTTCTCCTGTAAACACTGAAACTGAACCTGACAGTTGCTAGCTAGCCTCTATTTTTACGGGGACTTTGTGCGTGGGTGAGAACCTCTTCATGGGACCTTCAGTCCACCTCTGCAGCCTTCGGCCACTAGCAATTCCAGCGTTCGAGGCGCGTGACGTGGACGTATCCAGCAGCGAATCCAAAGACTCGTTTCGATCGTTGAGATTCCCTGATGATCACCTTGGTCTCTGCTGTTTTCAAGCACTTTTTTTTGCCACTGAAACAATAAGTGAATGGCATGTCCCCTGCAAAGACCATTTTCCACAACAGGGAGTTCTCCACTTCCATGCTTGTTGGACGAGGGTACACTCCCGAAAACTCACATCGACTCTGAGAATGGAACCCTGAAAAATGGTTTTCCTCTAGCTGCACCAGTGGTATTTGTTTTCAGCGGTGTAATTAAGTGGTTCTGTGTTGAATCATACTTCTCGGTTGTTGTAGGGGTAAACCTCCACCGTGCAGGGGGTTGATCCAGAAATACCCACCAGCATCCACCAGCTATCTCCTTTTGAGACGGTGTCTGATTCCAAAAGGATATATAATCCAAAACACTCCAACTGGAACAAATGGAACCATGCACATCCGGGCACCATCCAACCACTGGCTTTCATGTAAGAGCGAAAAACGTGTGGCTTACACGGAATGGAAAAAGCGAGATCAAAGGCTTGCCCAGAATGGAGGTAGCAGGCATCAAAAGCATGAATGTTCATGCAAGGACTTCTTGCAACCCAAGCAGCTTCTCACTAGCCGGTCCGGCCGCCCCAAAACAATTGACAAGGCAACAAGTCTTCAACGGGCAGGCGGTACTCTTCCACATCTCAGACTTTGGTTTACTTTGCCTTTGACTCATGGGTGGAGTTGTGGAGTCAGTCTACTCCCCCATTGACCCCTGGTCTTCTCTTGCCACCGCCATCGACACCCCCGACGCCCGTCGACCCGACCCAGCCGCGCCCGTCGCATGCGGCCCTCGAGGTAGAGGCGTCGGTAGTCGGCGAAGGGCATGCCTGGCACGGTCGCGTCTGCCACGGGTCGCATGGACCGAAGCGCGAGCACACCCAACAAGGGGATTGAAGTGCAAGGGGTGTGTGGAGTGAAAAACCCTGCGAACGAAAAAAAACAGGAAGGCACCCTTTTACCCTTGAACTGTCCGTACAAAGTGGTGAGTTGTGGATGCTGGCGAAGAAGGAGCAACATCTGAACCTGTGGCTGGGTGGCTGGTGATTCACCAGGGTTGTGTGGATTGCTACTGGGTGGCTGGCATGCACAAGCCTGGGTGGCCAAAAAAACACCTCAACGAGGGGTCAAACAGTCAAACATAACATAAACTGGGAAAACACACCAACATGGCAAAGGGGCATCAAATCTCTTTGGGACATCATGAGTAAAAAAGAAAACACTCCCACACCATCCCGCTTCATCCCTCACATCGGTGGCGCCCAAAAAACCTGCAAAGGGAAGGTTTGGTCGTCTCCCCAAAGCGAAACTTCACAAGAACTGAAAGGACTGCACATCAAAATTGAGATAGGACTGAAAAATTAAGGGGGATAATCCAATGAAGTTTACAAGCAAAAAAGGTGAAGTTTGGACAAACACCGGTGCCCGCATGCAGTCACAATAGCAAGATTCTTGTTGAGCCAACTCTTCGATGTGCGGATGTGTGCCGATGAGTCCCTCATGCTTCTCGCAGCATGAATACACCCTGAACGATGTTTGTCCCTCTGAGATGATGTGTTTGGCATGGAAAACGCTTGAACACAGACACCAAACTTTGGGGGAGGTGTGGCGCTGGCAAAGAAAAGGACATGCGACATGCTGCAGGAAAATGTCCTCTTCTGGCTCTGCAGCAAATTCACACTCTCACTTCACCTGTCTGGGAACTGGCAAAAAACAAGAACGGGCACCCCTAAAGAAAATATCCCATCAACATCCATCAACCATCAGGTCATTCACGAGATAGTCGGTGGCTGGCTTGGTGCTTTGATATTGCTTTCATGCCAAAAACCGGCTTTACACTGGGCCCAAAACGCCTGGTAAACCCTGCACACTCAACGACCCGGTGATGACTCGTCTCGTCCTGTCCGGTGGGAGCAGCGCCTAGCTCGGGCTTCTCCATCTCAGGGTTGATGGCTAGCAGAAGGGACTGACACAGGACAGCATCGGACTCGTTTGTGCTGTGGGGGGGGGTCTCTACAAAAGAATCCCCCTCACCACACGAATTGAACGTCCATCAGCCGAAACCATCTGCCCGCACCACTGAACCACTGCGTGATGTGTTGCCTCAGCTTTGAAAAGCCCGCTCGAATCGGAGCGGGTTTGCTCTGCTAAAACACCCAAAAGGCTTGTAACATGGATGAAATCCGATGGATGTTCAGCCGTGTTCAGCCTCCTAACTTGAGTCCCAGTACCTTTGTTCAGCCACTTCTCGCCTTCAAGGACTGCCCAAAAACATCCAAAAAGCCGGGTCAGAGACGTTCACTTTGCCCAACTGGGCAGTGCAAATATCGAGTTCCCGCCTCGAGCCTACATATAGATATTGCATGATATTGCATGCTGCATATTTATCCATGGTTTGGAGGGCTCATATCTTCAAGACCAGCCGCAGCCCCCCATAGGCCGCCTTGAGCTGATCCGCGTTGTAGAGCGCCTCTGTGCCCTCCGTCGTCATCTGCAGCTCGTTGAATTCCTGCGCGGCCCGCGGTGGAGAGGGGCCCGGCCTTCGCTCTGGAGGTGACGGGCGATTTCGGGGAGGCCAGTTCAGCCTGCCATGACCATCGCCGCTGGGTTGGGGTTGGAGGACATCTTCTTGGTTTGGGCACACCGTCTGAAGGGGCCAATGGTGAGAGGCTCTCTATGGTGAGGCCATACCCAAGGCATGCGCAAAGCGGCTGCACCGTCAAGCGACTGTAAAATGGTACAAACCTCGAACCGTTTGAGACGTTTAAAAAAGAACGAACTCAGAACTCATGACTGGGCCTCTCTAAGTTCTCTCCATGCCTGAACTAGCACTTAGGCCTCAGAGGCCTCAGAAAACATGACGTTCTTACGGTCTAAGATTTTGGGACCACGTCGTGGCGATCTGGCAGATATAAACTCATATATGACCAGTGACCAGCCAGGCCCCATTTCCGAAGTCTGATGGCTTCTTGAAACAAAGGTGGCTTTGGCTTGGTTCTCTATCCATCGCAAACTCCACGCCCCAACCAGCCCACCAGTGGATTCCCTCGGCTCTTACCGCCAGCCCACGTGCGGTGTTGATACGGACACCCCTCCACATGCCCTCCACCCAGCTCCGCCGGTGTCCTTCAGGTTCAAAACGCCATCCCGGTCCAGATCAAACTTCTCGAAGATCTGGTCGAAGACACGGTATCCGTGGAACCCCACACACCCACCCCACAGATACACGACGTGCGTGGGATCTTGGGTTTCAGGTGGGATCTTGGGTTTCTATATCCCTTTTCATCAGTGCCCAGTGGATGATCATGGATAGAAAAAATGCCGACGTCTCAAAAATCGTCACCCTAAGAATCCTTGGGCTCATGGATGAGTGTGGAGCAACCAGTATATAGTATATAACATCTCATGAAACACCTGCTATTATCACCCATATCACCTAGCAGATCCGCACGAACCCCCGGCGGCTTCGAACGGCTTCCAACGGCTTCCGCCCACCCACAAAAACCGGTCGAACTTCTTCCACCGTGCTCCAGTTCGAGCAACCTCCCCAGTGGCGCAGCGCTCACTTTTGCGGATCGCCGGATCGCCGTCCTCAAAGATGTCCTGATAGGTTTGAGCTTCCTCAATCGTGCAGCCACCTTGAAAACCGCACCCGTGAAAACCGAGAATGCAAAACCCACCCACCGGATTGATTGGCCGGCATGAAGTTCTCACCGGCTGAGAACTCAAGATCAGACAAACACCACCGGAACGCAGGCTGCCTCTCACATCCGAGGAAACTCAGATGTCGGGGTGCTCACTGGGGAAAATACTGCTCAGCATCAAATGTCAAGGGAACCTCCGACTTACGAAACCTGGAAGGTGCATGCATGAAGCTTCATGTCATATCAGGGGCAAAATCCAAAGTCTGTCAAAATCGCAGAGTCTGTGCATAGCTGAGCTGGTCTATCTCGATACCCTTTCACCATGGTCTATCTCCACTTACTCGCTAGCTCGATGTTGCCTTCAGATCCACGATTCCCGAACGACCTGGTCGGGTTTTTGTTTCACGCCCCCCCACGGCCGTGCTGAGCAGCCCCAGTGTCAAAGTAGGCCAGTTGGACCATCGGACGGCTTCTGCTTTGCGGAGAAACATCCAAGACAGTCATCGATGCCGAACGAGTCGAAGGAGTTGGAGAGACGCCATACAACACACGCAACTACGGCGTTGGAAGACACAATTTGCGCCTCCATTCAAGCAGAAGCGGCTTCGGAGCAAAAAGCAAATAAATACAAATGCTGCCCAACAAATGTGGGGCAGCCGGTCCAAATGCCCAGAAATGCGGACCCAAGTGTGAGAGTCTTTCGTCTCTTCAAAACTGCCCAAGTCCTTCACATGGGAACCATGTGTTGTTGAACTTAAGGGGGCTTCCAACATCTATGCCTTTTGAGAAAAACCAATCACGCTTGCCCGCAGGGCCAGATTGCCCAAATGATGTCCAATCTCCGACACGGACGCCCGCCCTGGACTGGGCTAAGACACCCAAAGCAGCCTGTGCATCGAATCTTTATCTCCGATCAAATGAGCCTTCTCTTCGAACAGACTTGGTTGTCTCACCATGTTCAGAGTGTTAGCCGAGTGTTAGCCAAGCCCCCACCGATCAACACAAACTACAGATTCGATCTGCAGGATGATGGCGATTGAGTACGGAAGAAGTTTGAGAGGGTTTTCCACTTTGGGGTTGGTCAAATGCCCCATGCATGTCTGGATGTCCATGTACAAAGACCTGGGCAGACCGCGCTGGGTGGTGCGCCATGTCCAACAGAAGGACCTTCATCAATTAATGATTATAATGGACATGACAAATTCCTAGGTCTAGTGTGTATATTATATATACAGTATATACCAGCTGCTTCCAAGGGGTTACCAATGGACAGCCCTACACTGCTTATATATAGGTCACCATTGGACACCCATTGGAAGCTCTAGGATATAGAGAGAGAGAGAGAGCTTTAGATACGACGTCCTACCTTTCCCGATCCGTTGATAGTTACTACCGATCCTTCACCACCCGTTCCAGACTTGACCACCCCTGGATCGGTGTTCATGCATCCATTCTATGCCCTCCCAATGGATCGGTGAGCTCCAAAAACGAATTGGCTTGTATCTGTAGCTGGGGATGGAGGAGCTTCTTCTGCTTTCTTCTCCCTTGACCCTTTCGACATGTTGGACATGTCATGCTTCATTCCGGTCAAAAGACATTGAGGCTTCGGATGTCGAACAGAAAATGCCCGCCAGGGCATTACCCGGTCAGCACTCGCAACCATCTCGGACGCGCAGAAAATCTGGCCTGGCAGTCGCAGCGTCGACACGTGATGGACCGTCCATCTCTGAGAACCTTTCGGGACAGACCCCTCAGAAAAATGGGACATGGGGAGAGGATTCCGTGGCCCAAAAGAAGACCCGGTCACCGATTTGGGTCCAATCGTCCTGGAAAAACGGACGAAAAAAGCTCAGCAGAAGTCTTCCCAAGGTGTGGCATGTGAAAAACGAGAAGCACCTCCGAACAGCCTGAACGCAGAAGATCTATACCTCACTCAAGGGATGCGCCTCTATTAAGACCAGTGGATGCGTCATTCTGATTGTCATTGCAAGTTCGGGAGTTGAGAGTGGTGACTTCCCCCAGGTCGCCCCAATGTGGACCACAAACATCTATATAGACCACACAGATGAAAAAGTGTACATCAAGAAGCTAGTTCTGAGTGTCCTTTCCCAGCAAAAATTGATGCAAAAACGCCAAGAAAAGCCATGTTCGCAAGTGCTTTTCTCAGTCACAAGAGTCACGGAGTATCCACTTTCCAAACAGTCTTAGAACCCTATAGTGACTATAGTGGATGAGTCGATTGTGACGTTCCACGAGAATATGGAACAGCATCCGCAACCCACCGGCCTGTCCGGGAGCAACGCCTTGCTGGCCACGCGCGTTGCCGGAGTCTTACCTTAGAGTCGGCGGTGATGGGGCTGTGCGAACATCCACCCGAACTCCATGGAACTGGATCTCAGCTTGCTACTAGGAACAGGTGCCTTACTAGTAGTAACAAGGTTCGCTACTAGGAACAAGTGCCTTACTACTAGTAACAAGTGCCTTACTAGTAGTAACAAGTGCCTTCCTATCCGTCCTGTTCCTAAGAGCTTCCTATTGCTAGTCGCTTTGGGGTACGGAGGTTCGATCCGCCCATGATCTACCAGGACCATCCTGGTCGGATCGTCCGATCGTCCGGGCTGATCCCTAACATGGGACACCCACATGGTCGGATCGTCCCGGTAGGTGTTTATAGGCGTTTTGCTTCACACATAATTTCGCGGAGTGAAAACCGCCGGCGTCGTCTTCGGATGGTCCTGGTCATTCCGAGTCTTCGGGCTCGATGCCATGCACTTCCACGATGATTCAAAGACAAAGGTCCCTGGACCTTCAAGGGGTGTTCTGTCTGGAGGTCCCTTAGTGTAGGGACATGAAGGTGCTGGCAGTTCATGTTTTGTGCTTTGAGATCCTCCATGGGGTTTAGTTTGGGTCTATCCTTTTACCAGTAACAGTGGATGATGGTTAGGTGGCAGGCCTTTCTCAAAAATAGTGATGTTCTTGTTTACCGACAGTTACAGGTAAGAGTTTGGACAGCTTTTCTCTGATGGGTTTTGGCCTTTTTGGGCCATCTGAAAAACATCCGCTCCAAAGATCCGCGCAATGCACTACGCGCATCTGCGCAACGCATCTCGCGCATCGGCCGAAGGAGAACGTTGTTCTGGCAAAGGTACTTGGCCTGCTCCAGGACACGCATGGCCTCATCGACCTGTAAACAAAGGGAGTCAAGAAAAACAAGAAAGCTTGGAGAAATGGGACCCTGGGAGAGAAGATGGGCAAATTGGTTTCTAGATCTTTGTAATTAGTGAAAGAAGAACGGCCAAAGGACAAAAGAAGGACTCCCCGTGGAGTCAACAAAAACACCAGTCACACGCGTTCGCCTTCGCTTCTGACAGCTGTCGCCGTCGCGTCGCACCGAAGGACAAGGACGCAGAGTGGCCTTCGCCTTGAGTTGGTGCTCGCTGTCCAGGAGGATTAAAAGCTCGGAATTGTCCATCTCCAGCATCATGCCTGGCAGGGTTCGCATTGGCAGCATGGGTTCTCTTCAATGACCCGGTTTTCATGCTTTTGGGCACGGCTTTTGAATGACTCGGAGGCCGCAGCTCGAACTCCTTGCTTTTTGGAACCAACGATGTGTGTCTAAAAAGACATCTACAAAGCCTCTTTATATCATATGGGGAGCTTTATATCCTGTAACCCTGGTTGACCCCTGAACATGTACTATTATGTACTATTTCTCTTCAAGGGATGTCAACCGATCCCATGGTTTGCAGGGTGATGAAGAGCAACTGTACTCGCTCACGCTCTTTTTCCACTTGAGCCAA